TACATAGAATTTATCAATACAGCAATCAATGAAGCAAAATCAGAGGCAGCAAATATAAAAAAAGCCATTTATAATGACACGATCTGGAGAACAAATGAATTATCTAACAAAAAAAAAATCAGAAGGCTACAGAGAAAATTATTCAAAAATACAAACAAGAATGATCAGAGAAGACTCAAAAAAGAATATAATAGGGCACTTGAAAAATACAAACAGGAAATTAACAAACAACGAACTACAACTTAGAGAAATTTTTGCAGCAAACTTAATAAAAAAGACCCATGGGCAATAACATATCAGATAATCTTCAAGAGAAGAAAAAAAAACACACATTCCAGATATAATTGAGAATAATCACAACAACATAAATATCAAAGAGAATATCAGGCAAATATTAGATTGCCACTTCCCAGAAGACGACAAAACAACAGACACAAACATTCATAAAGAGATAAGAGAACAGGCCTTGCAGCCTTCCTCCAAAAACAACGACAAGCCTTTCACATTATTAAAGAAATACAAGAAGCCATCAAATCCCCGGCCAACAATAAATCACCAGACCTCGACAACATTACGGCCGAGACAATTAACAGCGCACCAACCTTTTATTACATAACTTTACAAAAATTGCCACAACACAATAAAATGCACGCACTCATATTTATCAACAACTTCGATCATCGTATTCCAGCAGTATTGCATGTCAGCACACCATATTATCCCACCTGTCTCCAGAAAGAATCAGTATCAAAGTACAACAGGTCACATCATTCATTGCATTTAAACAGGCTTTGGGCCTTTACACTGTCAGCAATCCAGCACTCACGGTAATCTGGCATCCCTCTGTGCAAGGAATGACTAGATTAGCAAGAGTCTAATGTATATAAATTTCTTTATTTTTACTACAGCTGTTACACTCTCTAATGATGTTCGGTTATTAATCTTTACCCGTTACATATGCTGTATATGTTATTAGCATCTTTTAAAACCCTTAACAAACTCAAAAACCAGTATTTTATGTCTAACAATATATCAAAAATGACAATCTGGTTACGTTAAATAGCAACAAAAAAAGAATGATGTACGGTACCTCGAAGTAGCAAATAATATACAGTAATTAATATTAATACAAAATGTATGCATAACCACGGTCGAAAACAGACATCTTCGAGCTAACTGACCTTCGCAGGTGTTAAAACAAAGGGGTTGCTGTCCACGTGTTAAGGGGAGTAACGTAAGACGAAAGGAGGGGAAGAGGGTTGTAACACTTTCACGCGGAGGGAAGGAATGTACATCTCGAAAGTTTCTTGCTGCTTTGTAAATCTTTACATGTTCTAATTATCTAAGTCGTTCTTTATGGGTGGTGCTATGTAGAAGACGTGCATAGTCGAAATGTACAGTACAATACAGTACAGTATATCTATATCGGGGTCGAGGCGGTGTTGCGGAAATGTTTGAGGCGGATGCCCCGTAGCACCAACGTATTCTAAGTTGCGGTTGGTTTTGCGATCCGTAACGGGGATAGTATGTATACTAGGTTGGAGGCGCATATATATACATACTATCTCCGGTCTGTAGTCTTACAACCCTCTCCCTCCTTTTTTCTCGCGTCACCCCTCTTAACACGTGGACGGCAATCCCCTTATTTTAACATTTGAGAAGGTCAGTTGCCAGTTTTACAGCGTCGAAAATGTTCGCTTTGTCATAAGACAAACCAATTTCCAGCACGTTTGTCTTGTTTATAAATCATACTAGCTTACCGGTCGCGCATTGCCGCGATCTCAGAAGAAACGAAATTCAAGCAAACTCGTTACGATAAAATTAAGTTTACATTTTATCATTTTTATTGAAACTTATTATTATTGTTCATTTTCATGGGGAAAACATTTCAAAGTGTCGTTTCAATTCTATTTATTTATTGCAGTGCTTGTGGATACGCGATATTTTTTGTTTTTCCGTCTGGTGCGTACACGAATAAATAGGAAGATTTTCCGACGCGTGAGTTGTCCACGCGAGAAGCACGGTTTCTTTAAATTTAGCCCACATACTAGCAGAGATTGTTAGAAGCGCCATATTCCCCATTTTTATATACAGTATATATTTTTAATCCTTTATAATTTTGATTATTTAATCGCTCCTTTTTCTCTTCCTCGGCGCGTTGTGAAATTTCTCATAGTTGGATAATAANATAACTTTGAAAAAATCCAAAATATATTTATACGCAAGTTATATCAATTGGAGTTTAATACGCCAGGAAGTGTTCTTCGTTTGGAATTTAACAGATATAAAATAAACACAATCCTATTAAAAGCTTGCTTGAAATGGTTACACAAGATAATTAATTCAGATGATTTATCTAATAAGCTGGTATTATTATTGTATAAAAGATTGCAGAAGACAAGTATAAATAGGAATTGGATTGCTCAATTGTCTCACATATTTAATGAATATGGATTTTCCATCAATTTAGTTTTTGATTATCTCAGAAATAGTAATCAGTATATTAATCAATTAATGCTTAGAGTTGTAGAATGTTCCATAACTCAGGATATTGAAGATATTCATAAGAGAAGTGATAAATATTACTATAATTTCCTTTTTAATTATCCATCTATTAACAACTATATCTTTACGAATCTAACTTTTCAAGTCAAAAAATTTTTTATTCAGATGAGACTGAATCAAAATGGATTAATATTTGAAGGTAAATATTTGGAATTTGCACACTCCGTTTGTCCAAATTGTGCTAAAACACTATCAAAGCTTCATTTATTTTATGGATGTGACCTTAATAAAGATCAAGAATCAGAGATCACTGAAGATCAAAATAATAGCCAAAGTTTAGTTAATCATATGTACAATAAATTCAATCTAGCTACCACTAATGAAATTTACAATTGCTATAATGGTGTAAGAAGACTCTTAAATGTAAAATCTTAAATACTACATGTTATTCTAAAGCGAAGATATGTTTAATTTTTGTTATTGAATGTTTATTTTCCATCTTTTTTCATCGTCATGTACCCCCTTGTAACAGGCGACTGCCTATTATGTTCAATAAATTAATCTAATCTAATCTAATTATGATCTTAATAATCCATACTATTAATGTCTCATATACAAACGTATAAATACACTGAGCATCACACACTGAAAAATAATATGAAAAAAGACAAAAAACTTGTATACAAAGTCCACAGAGAAAAACATTCTTCACTTGAACATTGTCGACTGTTCCAGCTTGATTTATTTTATTTTCATTATAAGGATAGGTTCCAGTTCTAGTACAATTACTAATTGTATACGCTATGTAGGAAATGACAATAATGGAGGATGTATATACATTTTAAATTTTGTCTTAAAGATAAAATACGTGTTGTGTATAATTTCCTGACAATAGTGTCGAAAATCCAGAGGTTTTTGAACAATCCATTATATTTTATTCCCATTTTTAAAAATTCATCTAAAGCCCTGCCTCTAAAAATGACAGTTGCCACATTTTCAAGACAATGACGACATCACAACGTAAATTGCTATCCATACAGATTGTAGTCTACGGAACAGTAAAGTCAAACTCAGTTAAAATTGAATATCTGAAAGAATCTTCCCATATTTCTGGTCTCCTGCAACCAAACTGCATAATAATTTCAAATAGGCCTATAACATCCAAAATAATAATTATTTATGCCCTAAAGACAAGAAAAGGATAAAATTGTAGTCTTAAAAATTTTATCATATTATAAATAAAGCTTTTGCTTACTTTTAAATTATTTTCTTTAAAATAATTCCTGAAATTAAACAGTTTGGAAGGTACTTGATAATTTAAAATGGATTCCAGAATGTTAAAAGCTGCCAACTGAAACCAAAACTAACACTTTACAAAGAAATGCTACAAACAGACTCAACTCTGCCAGCATGGAATATAACCAAATCAATCAAGACGGACAACAAGTACTTTATCCGCACTATTCAAAATATTAATTTTCAATCTATTTTATTTTAATTTTATTTTAAATAGATTAATTAATTTTGATTTTATTTTTAATTTTAGTTTTAGTTTCGGTTTGTGTAAAGGTCAACGATTTTATAATTATTTTTATATTTAATTTCTTTTTTGAGTTTTAATTTTAGTTTTAAACTGCTTATCTAGTGAATATTAACTCCTAGCAAATGTCTAGTTTTCAAGTGTGAAACGGTGTCATGGGTGATGCAGAGTAAAGGGGCAACAAATCATGGGTGGGGGAATTGGCATCCCACACCACCCCACGTGACTACATCCCTGTTATTATATTTAACATGTTCTATTTGAGATCACAAGCAGACATGTAGAATTCCAAATGGTTACATACAATAGCAAATTTTTTATTGGTCAATTTACAAATCCAGTTTTCTGAAAATTAGTTTCAAAGTTGGCTGCATGTGTTTCTATACCCACAATATATAAAATACTTGGGAAAAAGCATTGTGACAATTGTAAGCTATCATGAAAAAAGCAAAATAGAAATAGTGGACAATGGAGAAAATAATATTTAGGACAAACACTGTGAAAAATGTAATAATAATTTCATTATTGAAAAATTTTTCAATAATGAAAAGAACTATAATAATCCTGGGCTAATATGTACAATAATGTAATAATAATTACATTGTTACATTACTGCTTGGTACTATATTTTACTGTGGATGCATACCCTTTTATTGATAGTTACACATTGGCTTTGTTCTTTATCCTGTATTATTAATGGATTTAATGTTACCAATAGTTACAATGACTGCTCAATGACTTGAGCAGTCATTGCAAGATAAACAAATGTTCTAAAATGCTTGGAATATAAAAAACTCCATCTAAAAGTTTATCTAACAATGTATATCAAATTACAATAGATAAATTGCAAAATTCATTTTGTATTTAATATTAACATAAATTTTATAAATATAATAAAAATAAAAACATTGTATGTCAAACTAAAAATACTATAAATAAATGTTACAATAATTACTTTTATTTCCATAAAATATATGTTTTTCTTCATATGTTGTATTTTCTGGAGCTTTTTTTATACATTTTTGCATGAGAACACCCATATAAAGCTGGAGTCCAAGTAAGGCAAATAGAGATAGGGAAAACACTGTCAAAATAATCACATCCTTTAAATTCTTTACAGATTCTATTACTGCTCCAACAATGGTCTTCAAACCTAATAAGAAAATATTAAAGGTTAAATTTAAAATGTGCCTACAAATTAACAATTAAATATTTTTTAAAATTTTCAATTCTTTAAAAATGTAATTAAGTTTAACAAAAAAAAAATTGTAATTGAACAATAAGTCAATCTAAAAACAAAATATGTGTCACATATTATTAATATACTGAAAATTCCCTAAATTGCAAATTGAAATAATTATAAATACTTATTACAAGGTTTATTTATTTATTATTATAAACACCTGGTAATGCTATATCATAAGCAAGAAATGACTGTCCCAAAGAAAACATTAACAAAAAATAAACAACTACATATAATAAAAACAGGCAAATAGAAAAATGAATATAAAAATCACAAAAAATATATAATTAGAAAATATTAATACAATAAAATACAATAAAATAATGATAAAAATATTTTTTTAAATAATGAATAAAACAAATTACCAAACAGAATGCTATTGTTCATTACATACAACCATTTTAGATATTTTTTAAAACTTAAGATTGAAATTGTCAATAAACCAGTAAAATCTAAAGCAAAATTAGTAATATTAAAACCATATATTCGTCTGAAGAAAGAAATAAAGTACTTCTTAAATCTCACAACTCAACAAATGTAGGATTTATCATACAGCATGCAAAACTAATTGCTTTGAATTGTCATCGTAGAATGCATTTTGGTCTTAACCCCTCTTCAGTGTTGACAATACCTTAAATACACTGGTCCCGAGTAAAGTCACAAAGAAAATATATTTTGTTTAATATTAATTAATAAATGCATATATAATGAATTTCATAGATAGTACTATATATAAAAATTTAAAAAAAAGTTTTTTAAACTGTGCAGGGCCAAATTAACCCACTTTGGGGCCCTAGACATTTTCTTCTTACCAGGCCCCCTTTCTCTCCCGCAAGAAATAGAGCGCACAAAAATATAAACAAAAAATAAAACAAAACTAAATAATGTGAAAAACTAAAACAAATCTTAAATTTTTATTAATAAAAAATATTTAATATACAACAATAAATTTTAGTTTTTCTAGAAAAGTTTGAACAGTCTGTTTATAAATTTAAAAAAATTGATATTTATTTTATTAAATGTCTAACGAAAGTTATTATACAATAACAATATTACCTTAAAATATTAATTAATTTAACCTTTTTTGGTTAATATTTAAATAATATAATATTTTACCCATGAAAGGTTAATTGAATAATGAAAAAGATAATTTAAATTAAAAGCCAAGATAGTTTAAAAAAATTAAGTATATAAATATGAATAAACTTTATTTAAAAATTATGTTTTCTAGTCTTTAATTCAGCAAAATTATTAATTATTTCATTAATATTATTCAAAGCATTTTGTTCAATGCTAAAGAATTTAATTTTGATTCACTCAGTGAGTTTTGTAAATAATTTTTTACACGTTTTAATACTGAGAATGTGTATTTAGTATGCCCTGATGCCTACATCAGGCCGTTCAACTGGCTATCTATATACAGTACTGTATATAAAATTACGTCCTGACTGACTGACTGATTCATCATCGCCCAGAGAAAACCACTGAACCTAGAGGTGAAATTGGGTACACAGGGTACATCATGAAAATGCACACTAAAAAAAAGGGAATTTTGGAAATCCCCCCGCAGAGAAAGAGAAAGAGGATTAAGGCTTAACCTGAAAAACAACTACTACTGTACTATTTTAGATGCAATTTGTTGTTTTTGATAGAAATAACTTAATTTCCAAACGTACAATATTTACCGAATAATTTGCCCGTGCAACGCCAGGCTCATTTGCTAGCAATATAATATAATAGAAAGATTAGAAGTACGAAATAATCTAATAATCGTAACCTTTGTTGTTATTTTTGCCCAGGCAACGCCGGGCTCATCATCTTGTAGTTAATTTTATTCTTATTGCTATAAAAAAAATTCTAAATTATCAGAAGAATTACTTTCAATAAGAAGAAACATAAGAACACATTTTCTTTAGATTTTAGAATTCATAATAACCATATAAAAAGCAATATATTTTTGTTTATTATATACAGTTGTCCAACAGAAAAGTAAACTATCTTATTTACAAATATTTTNCTAGACACTAATTATCCGTATCCGTATCCGTATCCGCGGATATACATTTTTAATGATCCGGCACATCACTAGTGAGTAGACAGACACTGGGCATTTCTGACATCAATCTTTATTCGGGAATTGTTAGCAGCCGCTCTCGAGTTTGAGCCGACAGAACAGGGGCTTACGCCCGAAACGCGACTCGGCCAACAAGATATTCCCGAATAAAGATTGATGTCAGAAATGCCCAGTGTCTGTCTACGCGCCTAGTTGTGACAGTAAAAACAAACAGATGAAAGAGGATACGCAAAAGTACCTATTTTTATTATTTGATAAGCAGATTTTTCATATATTCGCGTTAAATATTTTAATAGCAAAGTTTAAATGTAAATGACATTTTTTAAACTCTTTTTCCCTGATAAATAAAAGTGTGCATTCTAACTATATTTTTTTACAACCAGAATACAGTAGAAAAAATTTCGGGCCAAGTACCAAAGATGCGGGATGGATTAGGTACTGTACATTAAATACTTTTTCACGTATATTCTATGCCGAAATGGGAGTTTCTTATATATGCCCGCGCATCTTATATGCTATAAAATACGATAATTTGCAATTTAATAGATCGCTGTTGTCGCATTACGCTCTTCTTTAAAAATAAAGGCATTGTTATCATTATCCCTCGACCATTTACGAGCATTCCAGGCTTTACGTTTGAGCGTCGATCAAATTATATTATTCTTATTTAATTTTTGGCATGGTTTATTTTGTGAGCCGCGACCATATTCTGCAGTTTAGGGAATAAGAACGATAACAATTGCAATACCGGTAAGATTCAGACCCATCAAAAAACTTAAATATTTATGCTACTTTTTCCATTTGATTCTAAATATATGCAACTGGATTAGAGATATAATAAAAACTACACTATATAGCAGGGCTTCCCAAACTGTGCGTCACCCTGGGGATACCCACCGGTCGCCTGCACACGACGTAATGAGTGAGTGCGCGGCGCATGCGTCTCATCACCCCGCTTCTCCAATTTCCCGCTCTTTCGTTCAGTCGATTACAAGCGTCGATGAATCAGTGTTTTGATTTCAAGTGTGTTCTATTTAAATTGCGCATTGTAAAATGAAGAACTTTATTCAAATAAATAGAAAACGTGTTGAAGACTCGGAAAAGAGTACAAAGGAAACTGTAGAAAAACGAAAAAAGTACAGAAAATATGATGACCAATATTTAGGTTTTCGATTTACTTACGTTAGCAAAAGAAACGTGGAACTACCCCAATGTGTTGTTTGTTATAAGGTGCTGGCAGCCGAAAGGATGCTTCCTAATAAATTGAAACGTCATTTAGAAACAATTCGCAGTAATTTACGAGGAAAACCGCGAGATTTTTTTGCAAGAAAATTGCGAGAACTGAAACATCAATCGACGTCCTCGTTTTCAAGAGCATCTATTCTCTCCGAAGCACTGCTCGCCTCTTATAAGGTCGCTCGCCGTATTGCCGAATGCAAGAAACCACACACGATTGCCGAAGATCTTATTTTACCCGCAGCGATTGATACGGTATCGGTGATGATTGGAGAATCGGCGGCTAAAGAAATAAAAAATATTCCCCTTTCTAACAATACGATTAGTCGTCGCATTCGCGACATAGCCGAAGACATTAATGAGCAAATTGTGGAAAAACTTTCTGGTTTATTTGCCATTCAACTGGATGAAGCGGCAGACAGTAATAACGACGCTCAATTAATATGTTACGTGCGGTACATGGAAGGAGCAAATGTATGTGAGGATTTGTTATTTTGCAAAGAAATGACTGATACCGGGAAGGCTAGTGATTTCACATACACATAGTAGATTCATACACGAAAGAAAATAGCATTCAATGGTCGGTGTGTGTACAGATGGAGCTCGCGCGATGTCAAGGCAAAACGGAGGATTTCAATCTCTCGTTAAAACCAAGACACCAAATGCAAAATGGACACATAGGGAGGCCCTGGCTACAAAAAATATTTCACCCGAATTAAATCTTGCGATCGATATAATTATTAAAGTGGTAAACTTTATAAAAACAAGACCCGCGAAGGCAAGATTTTTCCGAAAGCTTTGTGAAGATTTGGGTGCCGAGCGTACATCTTTATTACTGTAACTCTCGTTGGTTCTCGAGAGGTAACGTACTCTCACGTGTATACGAATTAAAACACGAGTTGTACACGTATTTATTGATAGAATCGCATCGTGACGCAGAAAAGTTTAGAGATACGGACTTCTTAATAAAGCTGGCGTATCTTTGCGACATATTTGAGAAATTAAATGTCTAATAAATCGCTGCAGGGAAACGAAATGCATATACTGCAACTGACTGATAAATTTGCAGAGTTTAAAAAAAAGTTGCTGTTGTGAAAAAGAAAAATAGAAGAGGACTGTTTTCCTGTTTTAAATGGCTTTCTGCAAGAAAAATCTATTCAAAATCTGGAGCCAAGTTTCCAACACTTATCAACACTAAGCACCCATTTTGATACATATTTTCCAAAGAATCTAAATCAATACGACTGGATTAGAGACCCATTCCAATCGATCCCACCCCCATCTACACTTTCAACAGTGGAGAAAGAACTGTTAGAACTATCTGGCGATACGAGCCTAAAACTACGATTCGATAAAGACAAACTATTTCAATTTTGGAGCAATGTATCCCAAGAATATCCTACTATCGAAAGTTCTTTTACCGTTTACTACGTCGTACTTGTGTGAAACTGGCTTTTCTGCAGTTGTAGTAATCGAGTCGAAATACAGGTCCCAAATAAATTTAGAAAAAGAAATGAGAGTAGCGATTTCAAAACTTCAGCCCCGATTTGAGAAGTTACGCTCAGAAAAGCAAGCTCGTCCTTCTCATTAATTCTTCTTTTACGTTTTCTAATAAATAATAATTATTAAGATTCTATTTTCTTTGGAGTTTAATTTTAATGTCTGCTAGAGCTACAGGCGGGTATCTTCTTTTAGAAGGGCGTCGCAAAAAAATTACAGCCAGTAAAGGGAGTCACGGTATAAAAAAGATTGGGAACCCTGATATAAACGAAAATATTAACTACCCGACACATGTTTTGCACGAAAAATTTACTAATTTTGAAATTCTACACAATGAAATTATACTTAACTATAAGGCACCTTTTTCAAATTTTATATTAAGACGGAAAAAGTAGAGGAGAAGGTGGTATTATAGAACCCCAATTACATTTTAGTGAATTGTAAACAAAGTATCATAACTACATCCACATTTTTTGTGCAAAAAGTACTTGTAACTATTAAACTAAATGTTCCTAATTGGATTTTTCGTTAGTGTACAGGTAACCCCCGTATAACACGGCATTTCTATAGCACGGATTCACTCTAATACGGTTCGAAAATTGGGAACATCCGTCGTATAGCAAGGTGCTTTTATAGCACGGGTTCACTCTAACACGGTTCGGAAATTGGGTAAAACCCTCGTATAACATAAAATGTAATGAATATGTACGTTCTTTTATACCTCCGTGCGAGCATTCTAATTGTTTTCGTGGCTACTTTGAATGCTCTTTCAACAAATAATCCATTTAATGGTTAAATTATTACAATTGGCACCCTTCTCTTGCCTCTAAATGCTCATGTTAAGACAAAAAATAAAGCATTACCTTTTCTTTATTCTTTTAATACTTAACTTTAACAACTAACAGAACTTTTTTACAGCTTTGCAACCAGACGAAACTCTGACGACTAACAACTTTTCAAGTGTTGCCAGATATAAATGTACAATAAATAACAATATAAATGTACAATAATTAACAGCTCATTTTAGAATTATAGATTCCTCCACACGATACTATCGATAGTGCGGGCGCCGCCATCTTTCTTTTACCGTCGCTCCTAAATGCGTACAAACCGCGGCGCACTCCCGTTGCAGAGCGACCGCTATTAACGAACGCGCCCACAAACTGTTACCGGTTGATGATGCTAATGCCGAGATCATATAAAATGAATAATCCTCTGGTAAAATATTTACTTAAATAATAAATAAGTATTTTACCTATGAAAAAAATGAATAATAAATCCATTTAAATAAGGATTTAACAATATGTTTTTTAATTTTTGGAACCTAACCCCCCTTTTCTCACTAGTTCTTTGTTTCGTATAACACGGATTGGCATAGCACGGCAATTTTTTTGGAACGTAACTCCCGCGTTATACGGGGGTTACCTGTAACTATAAGTATGGTTTTTGAAGGTTTTTGTACAAAAAGTCAGAAAGTAGGCTTAGGTAGAACCGGGTGGTAATACGGAACCTTACCGTATATTTTCAAAAAATGCTTTAATGTGGCCAAAAACAAATAGGAAAGTACAAAGAATGTTAGATAATTACAAAATCATTTACTCCAATGTATTTTAACGCAAAAATGATTTAATAATAATAATAATAATAAAGATATGTAGAAAGAAGCTAATCATTTACAAAAATAACAAATATAACGCTCCGTTTCAATATCGGCACAATCTTTACGCGCGCACATTAGGCATTGCACCCACAACCCATCACAAAACAGACAAGCAGTGTCATCTGCTGGTCAGGCAAGTCATCGTCGCTTCAATATTGGCGCAAGAACGGTGTGCCCATTTATCACAACTGCTACATTTATTCTTATTTTTCAAATAAATAAACGTAAAAGTTGCAACTTACTCGTAGACTATTTACTTTACCAGACGATACTGTCGCTTCGCGCCTGCTCAGTTTCGCTATTTCGTAAGCGGACGATATTTCTTTTCGTGAAAAAAAAATGTTTATTTCCATCGTTATCTTACATTTTATTTCTCGTTAAGATAGTATTTAAATTTTAAAAATGTTCTCGTAAATAAAATAAAACGTAAAAACATTATTTTACGGTTTGAATTTGTTGGTAATACCGAGCACCGGGGGAGTCGAGTTCCGTATTAAAAGCACCGATGGGGTCCGTATTTCGCGCGTCTCCGTCTTGGGTTAACTTAATTCCTGTCGGCACCGAACTTTAAAAACGTGAAAATCGCGCGGATTAATACGTACCCCTAAGTCTCTGGAACGGAATACGCGCACCGGCCAACCTACAACTACGCCATTTATACTTTAAAAATAATTAAATTCGCTTAGCATTCAAAACTCGCGAATTTTGAAAAAAACAAATTTGCCGATTGACTACGGACAACCGTTTAACCGAAGCCAAGCGGGTTTTCCCCTGGCTACGGACGTCTGCCTAGTTCGGTTCGGCCACATTCCGCTACGGTTCGCCTTTATTATCGGTTCGAAATGGAGTGGTTCTGTAATACCCGCAGTGTTCCGTAATACCACCTTTTCCTCTATTACCGTACGTAAATTTACCGGGAAGTATATCAATACAGTAAAGGATTTCGATAAACAAAAGAATAAAACAATTTTTGTTTTCTTTATCATTTGTATATTATTAGTTTGCCCGGCAAATCGGCACGGCCCAGTCGACCTCGACCGATAAACATAAAAAGATAAGAATACCACTTTTGAAAATATTGCAATTTAAATTCTACCGACAATAATCTAACGAAATAAATGGCAAAAATAGGAAAATTTACGTAAAGTTAAAAATAAATTTTTAATTTTAGTGAAAAACACGGCTGACGGGCAACTTAATTTGGCTTCCGAAATATTCGGTTAAACTAGTTTTAAATTACTTTCGACGCGTCTGTTAGCCGGTTTCTCCTTTTAATTTTTACCAAATTGGTCGAGGAAAAACGCCACTCGAAAATGACATTCGAATTTTTGCCGCACACTTCCTTAAGATGGGAAATCCATACATTTATTTGCGTCGCCACCGAGTTTCCGTGTGCCGGACGTGGCTTATACTACGGCCCCTCCGTCCCGCTTCCCACAGCCGAGCGGAAAGGAGAAAAAGAAAAGGACCGGTTTAGCGTCCGGTGGCGTACAGGAACGACGCGTGGTCTTTTCGGGCCGCTTGACCGGAAAGGCTAACACGTCTTTGTTATTTGCCGACGCGGGCGAGTAGGAGAAGCGACTCACCTGGAATGACGGCCACCGTCTTCAGAGCTCGAAGTACGCGGAACGTCCTCAGAGCGCTCAGATTGCCCAGTTCCACTCCCATGGTGATGTAACTGCCGAGAAAAACAAAGATTAGATCTACTTTCCTTCCGCCGTTTCCTTTAGGCTACGTCGGACCGGCGCCAAACGTACTTTCCGTCGGTAATCGCCATAGCCACGCGCCGCTTTCTACTCACCCGACTATTTGAAAGCGAAAAAAGACGTAGGCAATATCGGGTAGGACCTTTCGATCGTAACCGAACTTCCTTTTTCTTATTTCTGTTTTTATCGAGTTTAAACCAACTCAAATTTTTAAAAATATGCGGGTACCGTAACCCTTTGGCAGGGACGACACCGACCGGGAACTTGCGGCGGTAACATCGTTTCCGGGGTGTTCCCGTACACCGGCAGTCCGACGGAGCTCTTAAACGAGGGGCAACCGCCCCGGGCCCCGCGCTTAAGAGGATGCGGCGTAATAATATTTTATAATTAAAATGTAACAACTGGTATTTCGACGTAAAACGTAAAGTATAATTGTGAGGTACGCTGGAAAAATCTCGATTTCTCGATACCACTTGGCTACTAATTTATTTTACCATCTACAAAAAGAATAACCGTTTAAATTTATGCCGCTTAACGGTACTTTTTTTTATTTTACCGGTGTTTTAATTTAACTCGGTTCCGCCCTCCGTTACCGTAAAACAGCGGAGAAAAACATCGTTATACCGTAGTAATAATAACTGGAAAACTCGGGATGGCAACTTTACCGACACTTTCAAATTTCCCAATTATTACATATTTTTTAATGGCTGTATTTTATTTTTCTAGGATTTAGAACATTAGCGACGAGTACGAGTAGAGATGGCGATAAAAATACAAGTTTTATTTAAGTGGTAACCAGAAAAGAAAAAAGGCTTAGAAAGTGACGAAAAAAATGTTCTTTTAAAACGATGCGGCTATAGCTAGCGCTAGCGCACAAAATAAAGAAGAGTTACGAATTACCTTGGTTCTCGAACGACGAAGAAAGTAAGATTAGCGCAAATTATCGACGATCCTCCGAGAAAATCAGATTATTATTAATTAATAAAAACATTGTTCGAGTAACAAATTACGATTTTCCCACAGACGAACCGGGTAGAAAATTTAATGTATCTCCTTATACAAAAGTAAATTTAAAGGGAGAAAAATATGGTAGAAAGCGGCTTCTCTATTCGAAACTTATATACGTCCGAACCGATGGACGAGATCGTCTTTAGCATTAGCGAACGAAGGCAGAAAATCACTTAAAAGAACAAACGGTCGACGATTAAATTCGGCGCCAACTTCTTACCAGGATTGTACTTTGTCAACAATATTTAGCTAGCTCGGTGCAACGAATAGCAAACTTTTTACAAAAAATAACGGTCAACTTTTAGGTTTAATCGAATTAATCTGAAAATTGGATAAAAGAATGGTGTCCAAGATAAAGAAACAAACGGTCGTTCAAACGAGAATAATTAATCTGTTGGCAAACAAAGTTAAAAACCAAGTAAATATTACGCGGTATAGAATAGTAGAAATGCCCGACCAACGACAACAAAATAAAGTCCAAATTAATGATTGTTTTATCGCTTTTTCTCCTACGGGCTTCGATTTATCGCGGGAATCGCGTAAACAACTTATTAAATATTTCTTCGAACGACGGTGGTGGACGAGAAATCCAACAACACAATTTAAATTTATTACCGGGTGAAGCGGCTTCCTCGGTTTTTGGGACACTATTTTCCGGGTCCGCCCACGGCTGGGCTATTTTAACGAAAGATTTAACCCATTCGACCGTAAAACCGTTATCGGATACGCGTAGCCAATGGCGAACACTGTTAGATTTAGACAAAATTATAACAGCGTCAGAAGAATTAGGCTGTGTACACATTAGGTGTTTTTCAACGCGCGTTAAACGCGCGCTTTTAAAGAACCAAGAGTTCTATGTAGGCGTACACACTCAAACGCCAAGCGCGCGTTAAACGCGCGTTTATAGATTTTTGTTAAAACGCGCGTTTTGCGAGCGCTTTACGGGCGCTTTGAGATATATGTGCTGAAATGGAAAACGATCATTTCGATACTGATCTATTTATTGATGAAATCTAAAAGAGACCAGTCATCGTCAAAGGATTTTATAGATATTTTAAAAGAATTAAAAAACTTGAATTTATTTTGTCTTAGTTTTGGATACAACGTCGCAAGCATTTCATGGGTCAGTCTATCTCGTAATATTGGGTGCACCCAAAATCCTCTTTGCCTCTGCCGTCGTCTTTTATAGCGACGATAGAGGAGCCACACACAAGCAATCACTTCCACATCCATTTCCAAACCGAGCCAGTGAGTACGCTCCATTAAACGCTCGTCGAACGCCGAGCTAACGCGCGTTTAAACGCGCGTTGAAAAACGCCTAGTGTGTACAGGCTCTTAAATGAGGTGACGGAGGATTCCGGTGTAAAAAGCCAAACGGATTCCGCTATTGGCCGTTATTAACGATTCCGACTTCGACAGCGCGGGCGGAGGAAGCTTTTCTACATTAAAACTAATTAAAAATTATTTACGATTAACAAATCCGACACTTTTATCTATCGAGCGCGAAATGCGTGAAAAATTAAAGTGCCGCGATTTAATAAAAGCCCGCAAAATTAATATTCCATAAAATAGTGCGAAAGGTTGGTTAAAAAATTAAGAAAAAATAAATAAAAACAAACANGACACTTTTATCTATCGAGCGCGAAATGCGTGAAAAATTAAAGTGCCGCGATTTAATAAAAGCCCGCAAAATTAATATTCCATAAAATAGTGCGAAAGGTTGGTTAAAAAATTAAGAAAAAATAAATAAAAACAAACATATAATCTTAAAAATATATTATACTAGCAGATCCCGCCACGCGTTGTTGCCGCTCAAAATGTATCTATTATAAATGTGTAACGCTTCCTGCGTGGAGGGGAATTTTTCGAAAAATTTCTTCTTAGTGTACATTCTCTCCACGTACCCTATTAAAACGCCATCAAAAACGCAACAACCGCATTTAAAATAGTATAAATAGAAGCGGAGTTCTTCACGGTAAGCCTTAATCCTAACCATCTCCCTACAGTGGGGGGAATTTCGACGCGTATATTATATAAAAACACGCGCGTATTCGAATGCGGCGTTGTGTGAAAATTTCAAAGGAATCGGTAGGAACAAACGAACGTTACATTTTTATTTATATAAACAGATAGAAGACGATGCGCTTTAGTTCATTTTCACAGAAAAACAAACTTAGGGCATCGTACTCGTAGCGCCATCCGTTGGACATAAAAGCCTTAACCTAGACGATATCTTTTAATTTATACGAATGTTTAACGGAATAATATACGGCCTACGTCCACCCCGAAGTTCCATTCTAAATATCGGTGAAAGAATTTTTGAAATCGGACGAGTAGTTTCGGAGATTACTCGCTACATCCAAACTTACAAACATTACCTCTTTATAATATTAGTACAGATATAAATTTCTGAAATTAAAATAAATTTTTGAAAAGTTAACGATAATTATTTTACTTATTAGTTTATTTTTAGAAAGGGCCTCGCAAAAGCTAGGGCCGGCCCCGTCCGTCGAAAACCGCGGAGAAGAAATGGTACGGGCGCGAGGAAACGGACGATAGCGTTGGAACAACGGCGTTAATATATTTCGTTTAGGCGCCGATTTAAATATTAGAGAGGTTGCGGCCGACGTTTTCGTCGCGAAAACGTGTACGTCGGACGTTCGGCGCCGCCTAGAAGTTTGACAATGGCGTTTGGAATATCGAGCGCGATTCCACCGACTATCCAAACGCCATTGTCAAACTTCTAGGCGGCGCCGAACGTCCGACGTACACGTTTTCGCGACGAAAAACGTCGGCCGCGACCTCTCTATTAATATCAAACGCGTGTACTCCCGCGTAAAGTATGGAGAACGGAGTAATTCGGATACGAAAGTATTGGATATTTCTAACTTCCGACCGTTTCTAAATACTTTTCTCATTCAAATTCTTGGTTTTTTATTCGCGATAAGATGGCCGGCAAACGTACAAACTAATCGATACGACCGACTCGTCCCGGCCAGCGCCATTTTCGACTAGCGCTAGCCGTTTACATTTACCGCTGGCAGATGGCGCGCCTTTCAAATGTGGGTACCCGGGTTATCCGAGTTCTATCGGTTAGTTGTATCGCGTAAAAGGCTGTATCGTCGAGCGTTTTCCAAGAGAAAGATTTCGGCTAACGAAATAATTCTTGTGCCAAGTTCATTTTGTGGGAAAAAGCGAGAGTCGACGAGAAGAAATTAAAACAATGCCATTCCAACTTTGTTTTCATTGGCAGAAAACCACCAAAAGGAAGACTTTCCACGGGTATAAAACAATGAAAACTGCAAAGGTTACTTCTCCAGTGCGCACTACTCACGCTACTGTTACACCGTCAACAAATTTTGAAACGTCTTCGACATTTATAGAAGAAACATTTCTGTACATCACGGTACATTATCTAAAGAACGTACAGTACAAAAGATATATTTATAATAGCGGACGAACCCGGCGTTGCTCGGTCAAAAAGCAACGATACCCAAGATTAGGATTATTACATTGTAGCCCATCTTACCCGTTTTCGAGAATTTGGTCCCCCTCTTCCGAGACTAATTAGAGAATTTTAGATATCCGCTTATAACGATAATTAAGACTGGCCGAGCGACGAATAACGAACGTTTTCCTAACCCTTTCCGGGTTTACTTAATTCGAAAAACGAGCCGCATCTTTCCGACTCATTCGTAAATGCGAATTCCGACATTAAGACCGACAGTTCGAATAAAGACAACTTACGCGCGTGCGCTCCCCGCGTCAACTTTATACGCGAGGGAACACTAAATGTCGTCGAGAAATTTTAGAAGGGTCTAAAAATACGTTCGATTTCCCACATAAAAGCGAAGAATGGCATCTAAAGTAGCGCGGTGGAAGCCGAGTTCTTCGAGTTAATTCGTATCCTTCTACCCCTTCCCCGCCAGGGAATTCCCAAAAATTTTTTATTAGGGCGCATTCT